GCTCCAGGCGGCCCTGGACGCGCTGGAAGAAGGGCTGGCCCTGCTGAGGGACACTGGGGCACTCCCGAGCCCCAGCTGCCTCTTGTTCCCTGGCTGCATTGGGGTCCGGGGCTGCACCCCCCCCGGCTGCAGCATCCTGGGCTCCCGCATCCTGCCTGGGGACAAACTCAGCAGGGACACGGCTGGCACCGAGCAAGGACATGTCCTTGCACTCCCAAACTGCCCCCCACAAGCGTGTTCTGCATGGACAGTGAATGCGTTTGGAAACTCTGGGAAGAGGGAAAGCAACAGTGCTGGCAGCCACTAATTTGGGGTTACAAGCCCTGCAAAAGCAGAATGCAAGTCACAGAGCGGGGTGGTTCACCCCCTTCTCCCAGCCACCAGATTCCTAACCACTGAACTCTTCCAGTGAGTCTCCTGAGGATAGTTTGTGTTCCTTTGGCCCCCAGTCTGAACTGGCAGCTGCTTTTCTGAAAGGGCTTTATCATTTATGTTCCGTGTTTTTTAACAGACATATGTGAGCTGTTTGAATTAGAGCAATGTGAATCTATTAGGCAGCGACAGATGCAAGTTTTGTGTCTCTTATTAGAAGGGATTGGCTTCTGAGGTTTAGTGATGTGCAAAGGATTGGACTTTGGAGAGATTAAAATTATTTTCAGCGTTAAGCACAATGTTTCTGAGCTAATGCACTCACTCTTGAATATAGATTCACAGACTGAAAAGATTATAAAACATTAAACCTATGTAAATTCAGCTGTAAATTTATGTTTGAACAAATTCAACAAGAGATTTGACTCGGGGGCTTATAGCAAATGGGTTCTGCTTTTAATGCGTACTGCGGGCTCAGTTGCAATGCTGCTCTCCCCTTGAAAGTCCCACGCCTGCTGAATTACTGGCAGGTCACAGCTGACAGCTCAAGCAATTATACTGGAATGTGTTAATAATAAAAAGAAAAAGGATTCATGTTTGTCTTTTCAGAAGACAAAAGCAGCTGTTTGCTCCACCCCAAGGAGCAGCAGAGAAGAGCTCTGTGGGCAGGTGACACTGGCAGCACCTGGCCATTTCCTCTTTCCATGGCAGCTGTGCAAATCCTTGTCCTCCTCTGTGATTCCCCAAGCCCTGGGAGTTGTTATGAAGTTTTTTCTCTTGTTGAGAACATGAAAATACAGTTAACAAAGACTCCTTTTGAGTGGGATTGCAGGAAACCTGCAGCATGGTGAACAAGCTGCCTACACAGAGATAAATGACAGCTGTGACTGAAGGAATAAACAAGATAATCTGGATTTAAATAAACCACAAGGGGATTTTGGCAACATGCAAATTCGCAAATTTATAAAATGTATCCTTTGAAAATAAAGAGCTTGTTTGAAGCCAGCAGTTAAGAGCAATTACTACAGCACATTTTCCCAATGAGGGCGTCTGCTCCAGGCCAGGGCGGGCGGGAGCCAGCTGTCCTGCCTGCTGCCCACAGAGGCTGGGGGCCTTCCGTGCACGGAGCAGGAACCTGCAGTGAGAGCAGCCCCTGTGCAGCTCAGGCGTGCACAGAGCAGTCTGCCCCTCCTCAGCCTCTGAGGAGCGCTGGGGAATGAACAGGAAAGGAGAGAAATATCCAAAGCCCAAGCAAGTGCTCAGTAATACGTATTGGGTCTTCTGCTTGGAGGACGAGGTGATTCCTGGGTCCAAGGCCAGCATGACCGTTTAGTTTTGGCATTGCACAGTGCAGTGGTGCTGCACCAACAAGCACAAGGGGATGACGCCCGTCCCGTAAGGGAGCAGGGTTTGCTCATGCTGTGTCAGCAGAGATCCTGCAGTGGATTGTTGTCACTGCTCCCCTTTTCCAGGTGAGCAGTGATGAAGAGAGAGGAGGTGCAGGTGGGAGACACCAGTGGCAGAGCCATGAGTAGACGTGTCCCATTGCAACACTTCTCCTCCCTCTGGAGGCATGTCAGGTGCAGTCGCTCCCTGGCCGTGCATCTTCAGCAGCCAGACTGGCCTCAAAAGGGACACAAACACTGCAGGGAAAGCCAAAGTGTGTTCCAGAGGGAGCAAAGCCCTAGCCCCATGCTGCAAACTGCTCTGCATCAGCCGCTGCAGGAGAGCGCTGCTCCGCCTGCACACACAGAGCTGGTTAGAATTCTGTCGGCACACACGCAATTAGGGCAGAGCACATGGCAGCAGCTCTGTGAAGGTTAACTGCTCTGAGGAGCATTCCTGCCGTGCCAGAGGCTCGGTTGCTCCAGCTTTAACACCCCTGTTATTCCCAGCAGCAGGAGCTGGCCGTGCAGTGTGCTGCTCTCTGTCTGGCAGCAGTTATCGTGTGCCCCCGGCTGCACTCGGGGCACCAGCCCCAGGGCTGCAGGCTCCAGCCTCCTTCACCTGCACAGTGCAGCTTGGCTCCTGCCCAGCAGGGCAGCACATGGGGGGAGATTCTGAAACGCAGCAGAGTTTGGGGTAAAGCCTTTCTGTATGTATGTCCCAGAGCCACAGTCGCTCCGGGCTCTGCAGGGCCAGGATGTCCTGAGGACAAATTGTGGCTTCCAGCTTTATGCTTAAAACTGTACAGCAAATGCTGAATCTGCTTCTCCTCCTCTTTTCCTTGATCACTGCTTCCCTGTTTTCTCTCCTCAGGGCCAGCCCATCCATCTATTTGTCTTTATTGTGCACGGAGTTAAACACAGTCCTTAAATGTGGCAACACTTCCAGATTATTAGCTCTGCAATTTCTTGGCTCCAGTTTATTATGGTAACATTATCTGAAGGGGCAGTTGTAATTAACATGTTTATTCATGCTTCTTTTATGAACCCCCAGTGTGTTTGCTTTATACAAACCAAAGCAAATGCCCTGGGGCATCTGGTGCTGCTGTGGGGAGCAGACACCACGGTGGCTGCTGTCCTTGCTGCAGGTGGTGTACCTTGGTGGTGGGACTCCTTGCTGCAGGTGGGTCACTCCCCATCCTCCCCTGCCAGCTGACAGCCATGGGCTGTGAGAGTGGGCACGGAGCAGCGCTGCTGGGGCAGCCCCTCCACTCCCCCACCCTCGCAGTACAGCAGTGGGCACCCAAGGGCTCATCTCTGATCGTACTGTGGGTCTTGCTGGCATGTGCATAGCCATAAAAGCTGCTTCCTTCCCACAGGGCTGTTAAGGCCCCGTACTGGATTCCCCAGGGAAGCTGGTCTGTAATTCTGCAGCATCTGCAGTCCCCAGGTGCTCATATCCCTGTTAATATTTTTCTTAATTTTTCTTAAAGGAATAAATACCTCAAGATACATCATTCTGACTAATCCTTGCTCCCTTCATGTCACTGCTGCCCACGTGGCTGATGCAAGGCATGCATGAAGCACCAGAGTGCTCTGGACAAAGACAGGGTTGAGGCACCTTGTTGTTGGGAAGGCAGCTCCAGTGGGACCTGATGCCATGGGGATGGGCTTTCCCATAGAGCCTGGCCACCAGCAGGCTGGCCCTGAGACAGGGAGTCAGTCCTGCAGCCCTGCAGGCCACATTGCTGCTACTCAGACAGACACTGCTCAACAGGAAAGGCTCTGCAACAGGACAGGGGCAGCCAGGAACGCCAGCCTCTTCACCCAAAATGCTGAGGACACTGGCAGCCCTGTGGCAGCAGCAAACCCACCCTCACTCTTGCCTTGGCAGGAGACCCCGCATCACCCCTGCTCTCAGCAGAACAAGCCTGGTGGGCTGGATGGCACCAGCAGTGAATACACAAATTACAGAGGCGTAAAGCCAGTTGATGCCTTTAGCAGTCAAATATGAGGTGACACTTGACAGGCACATCTAGCAGGCTGTGCCTATCATCTGCTTCTGCTCCAGGCTTCAGCTGTGTTATTCCTGAAATGGGTCTTGCTGGGGCCCAGCAGTTTGACGTCAGCATTACTGTGGCTGTCGCTGCCCAAGGTGCTCTCACAGAGCCATTTCAAGCCTATTCATGTTATTTCCTCACCATATGTTTGTACTAAAAATAGTTGCAGTACAAAGGGATAATCCTGCAAGGCCATGGGCATCGCCATCCTCCGTTCTGACACAGGAGACCTGCCCAGTGCTGAGAGTGCTTCCCCGGGGCAGCGACCCCGTTCCTGTCCCTGGCACTGAGGCACTGGGGCTGGGCGTGGGCAGCAGGCAGGTCCCTGGCTGTGGCACAGCCTCCAGCCCCGCTGCCATCTGGCAGCACAACAGGTGTGAACGAGGCTGTGACACTCCTGCAGGGGGCATCTTGTGGGTCCCTTCCAATTCAGCTTATTCTGTGATCACTTAAAACCCTCTGGCTGGCTATGATAATCCTTGACTGGTGGCACTGGGACAAGAATTTACCTCTTCATTTTCTTAGACATAACTGCTATCTCAATGCAGTTTCATTTTACAATATGGTAATATGCTATCCAGGAAAATCTTGCTACATGCTAATTTATCCAGTAGGCAAATTCCTTTTGGCTAATAAAAGTGCTTGCACGGGAAGCTCAAAACCCAGCAGCAATTAATTATTGACAGAGCATGTGAATTAGAGATAAAAGAAAAGTCATTCTTTCTCACACACAAGATAGTAAATAAATTTAATTATTGTACTAGAAGCAAGGGATCTTATTCTGTATTAAGTTTTATTAGCTGAGACGTTTAAAAGCATGTCATCATAACAAAAAGGTCCTGTGTAATCCGAGCTGCGCCGCTCCGTACACGGCTCTGGAGTGAATAGGCTTAATTGAGCAAATGGGAGCAGATGGCTTCTGAGCAGGCAGGTATTGTGCAGGTTTAGTGTCAATTAGCTTTGGTCTGCACATGCCTGTGGCAAATTGTCTGCATAATGTGTCACCAAGGCTGACTTGACATTTTGGGTGCCCACCTTGGCCAGGGGCTGAGAAGAAACAAAGCCAGAAGGACTTGGGTCTGGGGGTCACAGACAGCATCTCCCCTCCTGCATGTCCCACCAACACCTGCACAAGGTGCCCAGCCTGCCCGGCCCCTCGCTAACCCCCTCCTCTGCTTTTGCACAGGAACGTGATGCCCAAGACGCTGGAGGGCCAGATCACCATGGAGAAGACCCCCAGCTACTTCGTGACCAACGAGGCGCCGCGGCGCATCCACTCCATGGCCAAGGACACCAAGCTGATCGTGGTGGTGCGCAACCCCGTCACCCGCGCCATCTCGGACTACACGCAGACCCTCTCCAAGAAGCCAGAGATCCCCACCTTTGAGGTGCTGGCCTTCAAGAACCGGACTCTGGGGCTGATTGATGCCTCCTGGAGTGCTATCCGCATCGGGATTTATGCCCTGCACTTGGAAAACTGGCTCCAGTACTTCCCCCTCTCCCAGATCCTGTTTGTCAGTGGTGAGAGGCTCATCACTGACCCAGCTGGGGAAATGGCCAAGGTCCAGGACTTCTTAGGCCTCAAGAGGATTGTGACAGAGAAGCATTTTTATTTTAATAAAACGAAGGGGTTTCCCTGTCTGAAGAAGCCAGAGGACAGCAGTGCTCCCCGGTGTTTGGGCAAGTCCAAGGGTCGAACTCACCCCAAAATAGACCCAGACGTCATCCACAGACTGCGGAAGTTTTACAAACCCTTCAATGTCATGTTTTACCAAATGACAGGCCAAGATTTCCAGTGGGAGCAGGAAGAAAGTGATAAGTAGAACCACAAAATCAGGAAAATTTTTTTTTGTTTTTGGGATGTGAATCATCATTTGAGACCCAAAACTCTCTTGGGGCCAGAGGCTCAGCCCTGTGTGTAACAGGCTCTTGTGTTGTCAGGGCTGCAGCAGAAGCCGCCCCACATGTGCAGTTCTGGAACTGTAGTGGCCTGTCACCTTGGGCTGTCCCCACCACGGCGCCGGGGGTCAGGGGCAGGTGGGAGGAGGAGGAGGCAGGGGAGCACGGCTCCTCAGGGTGATGGGGCACTTCGTGTCGGCGTTTCGCTGCTGGTGTCCCCCTTGCAGCCAGGCAGGCAGGTCCAGACCTCCTGCCATGGCAAGCTGGCAAGAGGGTGGCTCCCAAAACCCAGCACTGGGACAAACCCATAGATTTGATTTCTCCTGCCCTGCACTTTAGTTTTGCCCAAACAGCAGCATCAGATCTGGTCAATTCAGGCCTTGTGCACTCACATGCACACTGGTCTTTGTGTGTGGAAGGAATAAAGCCAGTTATGCTGCAAAGGAACTATGTACAGGAACTTCATTTGCACCAAACGATTCAATTACTTCTTGCACTAAAACTAGAATTTACCAAGTGCCACAGACACCTGGTCTCAATTCTCCTCTGACTGATGGGTGCACCTCCACTGTTGGAAGAGAGTTGTTCTTTCTTTGCTGAGATACTCAGTGAGATCAGAATTGGGGTCTCCCCAGGTCTCCACCCTCCTGGAAGCTGAAAGAACACTCCAGGCTGCCCAGGAGTGAGCCAGGCTCCCACTGCCCAGCCAGGCTGCCAAGGCACAGTGTGATGCCACCCGTGCCCACACAGCACCTCCTGGCCAGGCTGTGCCATGCCCTGCTCCAGGTTTGGAGCCAGTGTGGCCAGTGGGGACCGAGGGGGTGGCTGCAGGGTGGAGGCCTGGGACAGCCCCAGCACGGGGTCTGACAGTCAGGACCCCTGGCACTGCCATTCGTTTGCACCTTGAAAATGCAATCCCTGCTGCTGGCTGTGGACAGCTGGGGTCGCAGAACAGGGAAGCAGCCTTCATCTTACTTCAGAATTACAAAAGAGCAATTAATTCCCAGGGCAAGCACTGCTCAGCGCACAAAACCTGTGCTTTCTAGTGGAATGACCAGGTCACCTACATTTGCAGATCCTGGCAGAAATTATAGAATAAACCTACATCCCCAGTCGATCACCCAGTGTCATCAGCTGTTTGCTGGGCCCAGCAGACAGGAGCAGAGCTTACACAACTGCACAGTTCCACCTCCACTGCTGCGGGAAACCAGGCAGAGGGGGAGCAGAGGTGAAATGCAGAGCTGCTGAAATGGTCCCGTGCATGGTGATTTCTCAGGGCACTCAGATACTGCTGGCAGCTCTCTTTGCTCTGATGAGGGCTAAGGCTACCTCCAGTTGAGGTGTATCCTCATGAGAGCCCCCTCACGTGGGGCAGGTCTCCAGAAGAGGTGCAGGAAGGGGTTGCTGCGGGAGGACCAGGACTCGGTTCTGGTTGAGCTGAAAGAACTCCCTCCAGCTGCAGCTAACCAGATGAAACCACTGTTGCATTCCCTGGGTGACAAGCTGGCCCTGCTCAGGGTTCCAGGCCTGTCGTGTGGCTCACTACGCCGTGACTGGTGCGGTGCCTTGCACTGGATGAGAAGAGCTGAAGCCATTTGGACCATTTGCTGCGTGGCCCGTGCTGGAGGGACACTGCGAGGTCCCTGGTGACATCAGTCAGTTCCCATCAGCCTGGTCAGATTTAAAAACAGCTCCTGACATAGCACAGTTTTCACCAACCCACAAACTCCCAAATTACTACAGGAAAATTGGAAGTATATAATAAGAATAATCTTATGGTGTTTCACACGTTATTGAAATATCAGAACAGGTCCTACATGAAACCTGCTGCTGCATAATTTGGTGCAAGATGCTGAATGGAGGACAAGGGGCTCCAGAGGGATGTCTGGGAGTCTCTGCCTGTCTCTGGAGCACTGCACCCAGCGTGGCATGGGGCTGGGCTGGGGGCTGGGCCTGGCTCTGGCTGCCTGGCAGAGGGGCTCAGCTGGGGCTGGGGGCTCCTGGGTGGGCTGGGGACACACTGCCCCCTGCGCCCCTCCGCCTGCCCCCCACACTCCCTCCCTCATTGCTGCCATAGATTCAGAGGTTTATTTTTTATACCAGACGCTATCTCCAGCTCGGCAGGAGCTGATGGGTGCCCACTGGGAGGGGAGACCCTGCTCCTCTGCCCCGAGCGCCTGCTCCATGGTCTCCAGCCCCTCAGCAGGGTGGGACAGCACACTGCAGCCCCACAACCCTGTCCCAGGTGCAGCTGAGGTGCTGCCAGCGCTGCAGTGCTGGGAGGGAGCAGGGGCACACCACTCACCCTGGGCTGGGGCATGGGGACTGCGGTGGGGGCTCGTGTTATTTTGTTTTGCTCTTTGGAAATGCGCCCCATTTATGCCCCACTGCAGCTAGGGCTGGATGGGGGAATTATTTTCTATCTGGCCAGAGAGAGGCCTGCCAAATGAGAGTCAGGTTAATAGCACTTTTTTAAGAAAAACTATTCAAATGTCAGCATTAGAATACACAGGAAATTGAATTTTGTATTTGGTTTCAATTAGCAAAGCATAAATTATATTTAATTTTATACACAGACTGAGTGATTCATTGTTCTGGAAAAGCTGGTACTTTCTGGTTCAGAGACTGGAAATGGAGAGTGGGTCTGTTCTGAATCTTACTTGCTGTGCTGTCACTGCCCCCCCAGTGCGTCTCTGTCCGTCAGTGTCTCTGTACCTGAACGATGTGACTGTCCTGAACTGAACCCTGGAACCCCCAGCACTAAACAATAAATCATTGTAGCAGCTGCGTTTCTCCGCTCCGTTTCTCTTGGCCCCCCAGCAGCTCCAACACCCCATGAGCAGGAGCCAGGACAGGACAGCGCTGGCCGTGACCTGCCAGCCCTGCTGGCTGCTGTGACTTGCCCACGGGCCATGGCCCCGCAGCCAAAAGGGCTGGGCAAGGCACTGCTGCAGCCAGGACCAGAGAGGGGACCAGGGCCAGAACCAGCTGGGCCAGCCTGCAAGTCCTGGTGTGGGGGAGAGCGTTCCTCACTCACCTCTGAGTTTGGGGTGCACCTCCCAGGGTCACAAAGAACAAATCCCCGAGCAGTACCTGGGAGATTTCACCTGCTGCTGATTGAGGATAAATCAGTGGTTAATAAAAAGAGAGGGATGAAGGAGGGCTGGCTGCCAGGGTAAGAAATTTGGAGGAAAATTTTTTAATCTTATTTTGTGCGCACAATTTCCTGCTTGTTTGAAAAAAGGTTATTTCACAGCATGGTCCTATTGTGTCATCTGATAAAAACCACAGAAAAACTTTTATCGACAAAATTAGGAAGTAGTGAACTATAAAATTGCTAATTATTTTCTAGTAAATTTACTTTTAAATAACTTTAGACACCAATTACAGGCACCATTAAGCACCATTAACACTGGGTATATTTACCAAACAAGGATGGAATACTTATTCAAATCAAGATCATTTTGGTGTAGGTTCTGCTGTTTGGAAAGCAGCCCCCTCTCACCAGACGTTTAAAAAGCCATCAGAAGATCAATTACACCTCAGGTTCCTCATCTTTGAGCGTTGGTGTGATGCAATTCAACCCTTGAAGGAAACAGCTGTGAGCAGGAGCTGATGTCCTGGGAGCTGCCCCAGCAGTGCCCGGTGCAGCACAGGGCTGCTGTCCTGCTGTCCTGCTGTCCTGGGGCAGTGACTCTCACACTCAGCTGACCCAGCCAACGCCTCCATCCCTGCTCCCAGCAGGGTTATCCCCTGGGCACACCCTCCCAGCAGGATTATCCCCTGGGCACACCGCTCACAGCCCGGCGCGCCCTGTGCCGCTCTCCGCCGTGCCGCTGCCTCCCGGGTGGGATCTGCCCTGCCATTAAATCACAAACAGGGATTTCTCGTTGGCCCTGCTCTCCGCAGTGCCCGCAGCCGTGCCCCGAGCCCCCGGTGCCGGACACCGCGCCGGGATCAGCGCCCGCGCTCGCCTCCTAATTGGAGGTTGCCAAGCGGCTGTCAGAGAGCTGGCTGCAAAGCTGCTACCTGCTCCCACTTTCCTGCTGTCATCTTTGACATCCTCATTATTTATTAACTGCCCGGTACCCAACAGGCTGCCACTGATGCAGAGATGCTGGGATTATGCAGGTTCGATATGCTGCCTGCCTCCAAGGTCACGTCCTCCAGGATGTCTTGCAAACCAGATTGAAGAGGTACCAGCAAAGATGCAACATGTTCTGTATTGCTGATGCCAGATTTCAAACAGAGCCCTTTGAATAAGGATGACTTACTACATAGCATCACAGAACCATGGAATTGTTTAGGTTGGAAAAGGTCTCCAAGACTTTTAAGTCCAACCATTCCCCCAGCACTGCAGAGGCCACCACTGAGCAATATCCCCAAGTGCCACACCTACATGGCTTTTAAATCCCTCCAGGGACAGTGATTTCATCACTTTGCTGGGCAGCCTGTGCCAGGGCTGGAAGCCCTTTCCATGGAGAAATTTTTTCCTAATATCCAGTCTAAACTGGGCCTGATCCCTTGGTTGTCTTGTAGGTGCTGTGTGATGGTACTCAGGGTGATCTGGTCCTTAAGCTTCCTCAACACCAAGGCCAGACTGACAGGCCTGTAGTTCCCTGGAGGAATTCTGTGCCCTTCAAGACTCCCAAGGAAATCTGTCAGCCAGGCTCCTCAGCTCAGCCTGCCCTCTGGCCACACAAGAAGGCAGTTCTGTTGGTCCCTCCTTACTCCTCCAAGAACCCAAATACCATCATTTTGGGTTCTCTGTGCCCAAGATGGGCTCTGAGCAGATGGTGATATCAGGCCCTGCTGCTCGCTGCTCGGAGCATTCTCTGCAGCAGCAACCAGGGCCCGGAGTGTCAGGTGAGAGATCCTGCACCAGCTGTCATACGTGGGACAGGGCTCTGTCTCTGCACCCGAGCCCAGGGCGATGGCAGGGTTATTTATCCCTGCAGTGACCTGTTACAGCTTGGTCAGCAGGAATCACCCTGCCCTTGGCCGTGCCTCCCTGGCACCGTGCCCATGCCCATGACCCTGCACCTGCAGTGCTTTGGCACCCTGTGCCAACAGGCCATGACATCCTCGGCAGAAAGAGCTAAACAATCCTTCACATCCCAGATTTCCTGGAGCCCTGTGCTTGGCGTTTTTTTGGTTTTGCTAACCTCAGAAACTCTCCCTCTATGAGTCACTTGCTGGGAGAAATTTATGATTAGAAAAATTTTGGTGCCTTTTAAGATGCTCTTCTAACTTCTAGTACAGGAAGAAATACTTGAGGGTCACATCACAGTTACTTTATGCCACCAACAGGGATGTTTTGAAGTATTTAGCTGCAATATAAGGACTAATAACAAATCTCAGTGCTTGCCCATAAGTACTTAGTGCAAGGACAGAGGCTGACAGAGGTACCCACAGACTAACAGATTTCTGCTCTCCCCTCTGCTGTC